TTGTAGATCCAAATCCACCAAATGTTGGTTGACTGGATGTTTGAGTTGCTGATCCAAAAGCTGTTCCAAATGTTGGTTGACTGGATGTTTGAGTTGCTGATCCAAAAGCTGTTCCAAATGTTGGTTGACTGACTGTTTGAGTTGTTAATCCAAAAGCTGCTCCAAATCCACCATCATTCGACGTAATTGATTCAAATAATGATTGGCCGTTATTCGACGCATTTTGTCCAAATAGTGGTTGAATGGCTGTTTGAGTTGCTGATTCAAATCCAAATCCACCATTATCGCTATTTGACATATTTAGTCTGAATAGTGGTTGACTGGCTGTTTGAGTTGCTGATCCAAATCCAAATCCACCATTATTGCTTTTCAATGTATTTTGTCCGAATAGTGATTGACTGGCTGTTTGAGTTGCTGATCCAAATCCACCATAATTGCTATTCGACGTATTTTGTCCAAATAGTGGTTGACTGGCTGTTTGAGTTGCTGATCCAAATCCAAATCCACCATTATCGCTATTCAACGTATTTTGTCCGAATAGTGGTTGACTGACTGTTTGAGTTGCTGATTGAGTTACTGATCCAAATCCAAATCTACCATTATCGCTATTCGACGTATTTTGTCCGAATAGTGGTTGACTGACTGTTTGAGTTGCTGATTGAGCTACTGATCCAAATCCAAATCCACCACTATTCGACGTATTTTGTCCAAATAGTGATTGACTGGCTGTTTGAGTTGCTGATCCAAATCCACCAATATTCGATGTATTTTGTCCAAATAGTGGTTGACTGGCTATTTTGTCCAAATAGTGGTTGACTGGCTGTTTGAGTTGCTGATCCAAATCCACCACTATTCAACCTATTTTGTCTAAATAGTGGTGGGCCGGTTGCTAGAGTTGCTGTAAATCCACCAGATCGATTATTGAATCCACCAAATGGTATATTTGAACTTGATGTATTGAATGCTTGAGGTTGTGTACTAGTTGGAACTGCGAATCCACCAAATTGAGATAGATTCGGTTGATTTGACATTTGTTCTCTTTTACCGGATAAGTAGCTAGCTGCTCCAAAAACAGGTTTGGCAATCAAACTATTAAATGACATATGGCATGGGATTTGGCCAAATCCAATAGTCTGAGAATTTTGTTGGGAAAACACAGGAAAATTGGATTGGTTACTTCCAAATCCAACCTTTTGATAATTAGGTGGGGTATAGTTTGGCACCACCATTTGTAATGGTTTATAGCCTTGTTCTTTAGTCATATCTACATCTTGTTCTTTAGTCATATCTACATCTCGTTCGTCAATCGCTATAAAACTATAAAATTTAAAGTCATTAATGTTGAAAATCAAATTATATCATATAAATTTTTCATTAAAATTCAAATGCCTTACCTAGTATAACGAGATGCCAAGTTATATGTTTTACCTAAAGCAACGATCTGATTACGAACAATAGAATTAGGAACTTGTTTTCCTCGATATTTCTGATGTTTATGAAGAAATGAAGTTCCATCTTCAAGATTTTGAATAAGTTTACGCGCTGCAAGTGTATGTATCTTAGTTCCTTGCAATGTGACGGGATCAATCGGAATTTCCAACCTCATTGGACCATCCTGAGACATCGCAGAAAGTGTAATACTCTTTCTAGGTTCAACCCCCTTTGCAAGTATGCAATAAACTATTAAACGAACTCCTTGATAAATTGGTGGAATATCGTACGGAGCTTGTAGGAATTGTAATCTCGAAATAAAATCATCTGCTGGTGGTAGCGGAGGAAGAGATTCATCACCTTCATTAAAAAAGCTGATAGTTGGTCTCTCTAAAATATTCTTTGAAGGTTCATCATCCTCGACTTCTATGACACCATTTTCAGTCCATTCGACTTTATAATCTTTAATTGGAG